AAATATTGCAAAATAGACTAAAACAATGCAAATTACTCTCTCCTACAGGGGTTGCGTATTCATGCAGATCAATAAACCAATGTGCGCAAGAGTGATATTTTCGCATTGTTTCGCAATATTTTGCAAATTTTCGCAAATTTTTAAAATTTTTTAAAAAATAAATAAATGATATACATATTCACATAATCATGCTTTTTTATAGGTTTTCGCAACATTTTGCACGATTTCGCAATTTAATATAAAATTTTATATTTTTTATTTATTATTATTATACATTATATTTTACATTTATTAAATATACATTTTTAACTAATATTACATATTTTATTATAACTTATATTCTATTATTATACAGTATTATTTTTACATTATTAAACTACTTTTGCACTTCGTTGCATCTAATTCTATTACTATATACAAAAAACTACCCTAAACACTTATTTTCACTCACCCCACAGTTAGCTATAAAAAAATAAACTATTATATTCCTAATATTCGCTCATATTCGCTTATCTTCGCTTATATTTATTACTTCTTACAAAGTGGTGGAGAAATTAGAGTTGATGTTCTTGTAAGTGCCAAAAAAGTCAGGTCGTTTTCTTGCAAAGTTCTGGAAGAAGTAAGGAACAAATAAAAGAAAAATAAAAAAATAAGTAAAAAAACAAAAAACAACCCCGAAAAAATATCAAAAAAACAAAACTGAAAAAAAATAAACTATTATATTCGCTTATACACGTCACTCTGGTTATACTGACAGCTGGATTAACCAACAGCTGGATTAACCGACAGCTGGTTATATCGACACTTTTTTCAAAAAAAAATCTATAATGTTAAAAATTCATTGGTTATACCAACAATCGTAAGAGATATTGGTTATAATGACATACTGACAATTTTAATATTAAAAAATTATTTAAGATAATTTTTATTGCTAGATATAGTGACAATTTTTATAAACCGACTGTCGTTATAGATGTACCAATCAAATTAATTTTTTAAATTTGCTTTATACTAAGCTTAGCATGAAACAATAAGCATAAAATAAATTCATTTCATTATTTTATGCAAATATATGATAGATTTATTTTATGCTAAACATAAAACAAATTTATTTTAAGGGTGTGGCGACTTAGGGAAGTTGGTAAGTTGTCACCCCCAAGTGGCAGGTCTTGAGTTCAAATCCCACTGGCAACGCTTTTGAAAAAATAGACCTGTGTTCCGGTAACTGTTTCTTGTTGATCGGTTGGGTATATCACCTGTAGTCCTTGGTTACCATCTTGAATGGGAGCTTTCTGGCGAAGTTGTGTCTCGTTATACAGACAAATCCAAGGAACCGGAGAAACAGAAACCCATTTGGCAAGTCCCGAGTAAGGAGGTAGCTCTGATCTTTGACGGTGCTACCAAAATTGGAATTTGGGCCGAAACCGGAGAACCGGACGTTGTCCTTGGGGACAAGGTCTACCAACCTGGCCGCCGAAGTCGCACTGGAGGAAAAGGACCCATTTTGAGGAATTGGGGACCAAGGGGAGAAAAACCATAATGGCAAATGCCGGGTAGATCAACCCTTCTGGGCCAACTGGATTGGAAGTCTGGGATATACCGGTGAAGGACCGGAGGAAAATGATGGTGGATGCCGGGGTTGGAGAAACCTTACAAGGGCAGTAGTAGGTAATGGTAGCGGTTGCAGGGTATCCCCCTGACTGCAAGTTGTTTGCCTCGGTGAATGCGTAAGTTACCGAAAGTGTAGGTGAATACCTGTGAGGGATAGGTATCACTCTACCAGGTTTACCACAGGGGCAAATGCCCTCCAATAGGTGTTTGGCTAAAGCCTCAGGGTACTTTCATAGTGAATTACTCGTGAAAGGGTATATTGAGAGGAACATTGAACATGGGTAGAAGCCAGAGAGTTTAAATAGGCAATCCCCTAGCTGGGTTGCAGATATGGCATCTAGTGTAGAACCTTCGGGCGGACTACTTAAATTAGACAACCAAAAGTTGTACGTGTGGCTAGTTGTACTCTCGTTATACAAATGTAATATGTGGCACAGTTATATTGACCGGGCCAACCCGTTTGGATCAATAAAGTGCTAGGGTACCTAAGTGGTCACCTTAATATTAAAAAAAAAAAAAAAACAAATTCATTTTGTACTAAAATAAATTCATTTTGCTAAGTTTATAATTCTTAGTATAAGCTTGGTGAAACAAAAAAATTTACCTCTGCCTAAGTCGACATATCTACACAATATCAATATAATATCGGTATAGATAGAGATGCTTATTAAACTGACATCTGGATATTTCGACAATTTTTTCATTGCTGGAGAATGTTGATATAACCAGAGTGACGTGTATTTGCTCATATTCGATTATATTCGATTATATTTGTTCATATTCGTGACTTCTTGCAAAGTGCCAGAGATGTTAGAATTGGTGTTCTTGTAAAGTGCTTGAAAAGTTAAGTCGTTTTCTTGCAAAGTTCCGAAGTAAAGGATAAATAAAATAAAATAAAATTAAAAAAATAAGTAAAAAAAGAAAACAAACAAAAAACAAAAATATTAGCAAACTAAATAAAAAAATAAACAAAGCCCCAAATCTCCATTTTGAGTTTGTGTTTTTGCAATTCAGAAATCATTGAAGGTTTTTGCAAAGTGCTGGAATAAAATAAATTAATAAAAATAAAAATAAAAAAAACAAAAACAAAAAACATGAAATGAAAAAATAAATAAAACGAAACCTTGCAAAAACTTGAAAAACTTGCAAAAACTTGCATAGAAATTACTAGAAAAATTAGTTGTATGTTCTTGCAAAGTGTCGAAAGGCTAAGTTAGCTTGTGCAAAGTGCTAAAAAGTATTGGATATTTCTTGCAAAGTGCTAGTGGTAAAGTGTAGAAATAAAATAAAAAAAATTAAAAAATAAAAAAAAATAAAAATGAAATAAAAAAAAAAACAAAGTGAAACTAAAAAAAATGAAATGAAACCAAAAAAAACAAAACGAAAACAAAAAAACAATGTAAAATTGATAGATCTAAATTAAAACAAAAAAAAAATAAACAAAGATCTAATCTGATCTTGTAGTACAATAATCAAAAATTATCGAAACATTTCGAAAATATTAGTCAAACGCGTTTTTAATATGATCCAGATTACAGATCTACTGATCCCAAAATATTTCGAAAGTATTCGAAATATTAAAAAAAAAAGAAAAAGAAAAAAGAAAAAAAAAAGAGAGAGGAAAAAAAGGGAGAGAGAGGTAAAAGGGAGAGAGAAGTAAAAGGGAGAGGAAATAAAAATTGCTCAAAACGGCCTTTTTTTTTTTTTAAGATTTTTGGCTCAATTTGTGGAATATATTTTTATGATCCTTGGTAGCTTACGGATCAAAAATGGGCTTAAGAGTTTTTGAACTTTTCAAAAAATTTTTTTTTTACCTGGTTATTTAGGTAGAAATTTTTTGACACGGTTAAAACACTGTGTAATTGTTAAAGATTTGTTAATCGTTATATATCGTTACAATTAAAAAAGAAAAAAACAAAATAGTAGATTTAATTATAAACAAAAAATCTAATCTGATCTTGTAGTACAGAATTTGAACTTTGTTGAACTATTTCGAACTATTTCAAAAAATCAGTCTAATGCGCGATCCAGGTTACAGATCTACTGATCCAGTTTCGTTTCCTAGTTGTAAGCGTTCAAAATATTTCATAACATATTTCAAAATATTTCGGAATTACTTTCGTAATATTTTGAAAAATTTGATATTTCAAAATATTTCGAAATATATTACGTAATATTTTGATTATATTACAGTTCGTAAGACCTTACATAAGATTGCACTATTATAAATTTGCTGATGAAATAGATTTTTAATAGATTTAGATTTAAATTTAAATTTAAATATAGATTGAGATTGGCCATTCTCCATGCGAACTTATGTTGTTTAAATATTAAAAAAAATACCGTACTAAAAAAATACTAAAATCAGATACTAAAAAAGGCAGATATTATGAAATTCAAAATGGGCTAAAAAATTCTAATACTAATCTGACTAGATGATTTCATGAGAATGTTAATATTCAATCATCAAAATTCAGATTAGCGATTTATATAAATATATTAAAAATTTTACCTATTATATAATACTACCCACTCAAACTTATATTCTTATAACTTATAATTAAATTTGATTAATTTTTGATTAATATACTATTCTAAAAAAATCGAGTACTAAAAATACCAAAACCTGATACTAAAAAAGGCAAATATTACAAAATTTAAAATGCACTAAAAAATTTTGATAATATAATTAGCCTGATTTGATGATTTTATAAAAATATCAAAAAAAATATTTAACCAAAATAGTTTTTGTACAAGAATTTTTTTAAAATACCCTACTGGAAATTAAAGCATTACAGTAAAGATAAAATTTTTTTAATTAATAAAAAAGAAAATTGAAATTCATATTAGAGCGCTGACATTTATTACCTAATATCTATTTACTATAGGGGCTTACTCTCCACCCCAGGTAAGATCTATAAATAAAATTTTAGCCAATCAAATTTAACTAAGGTAAGATTTTTCTTGACCCCCACCCCTAAAATATTACCTAATAAATGTTATCACTTTTAGTAATAATTACATCAGAATTTTTTAGTTATTTTGAATTTTTGTAGATTTGTTTTTTTTTAATATTAGTACATGATTTTTTAGCAATTGAGTGAATGTAAATATTTATAAACATTACAAATTCACTATGTACTAAAAAAATTTATGATGCAATTTTATTAAATTGAATTATAATGATTTTCTCTTTTATAATCATAGAAAGAAAAAAACTAATTATAATTAATTTGTTCATAAGAATAAACCTAAATAAATATAATAAAAAAATATTTTGTATATCAAAAATTTTGAAATTGGAAAATAAAATGGGTGTATTTAGAGACTTTCATAAATAACTAAAGGATTATTATTTCAAATTTATTAAAAAATGAAATAAAGGTGTGGCGACTTAGGTCAGTGGTCGAGTTGTCACCCCCCAAGCGACAGGTTGTAAGTTCGAATCCCATATGGCACTGGTTTCAAAAAATTACATCTGTGTAACTGTGACTGATCTTTGTCGATAGGTTGGGTCATGCAAAGACCTGTAACCTGGGTCACACCATTGAAACGGGAGATTCTAGAAATAGGATCGTGTAATGCCTAGGAACCTGAAGATCAGATCGGAACTCGTTTGGCAAGACCTGAGTAAAGAATAGCCAGACTTTCAACGGTAATACAAAACAGAGTCAGATTAGGTAACAGAACTAGGAAACTGAAACATTAGGATTTTTTAGATATAGGCCCTAACCAACCAAGCTTCTGGAGTCGCACCAGAAGAAAAGGCCATATGTTATAGAAGTATGGACCAAGGAAAAGGAGCCCGTAAGGCACATAAAGCCTGGCTAACTAATCCTTCTGAGCAAACAGATTGGAAGTTAAGAACTACTGGGGGTATAGCCCATGAAGATGAAGGGGTAAGGTATCGGGATCTGTGTGAACTTTACAAGGGCTGCAGTTTAATGGTTCGTACTGACTGCTAGTATACAGGTAAAGCTGTAGCAGATGTAATCTATAATATTAGAGGTATTAAAGACAGTGATGTGGGATCTGCACCAGGACCAGGGACCCAGAAAAATTTGGTTTGGAAATTGTAAAAATTTATTTGGATACTGGCCCAATATTTTGATAAGATTTGAATAAAAATTTCAAATATTTGGAATTATTTGGATTATTTTTTTGTTAAGAAAATTTATTATTAACCAATTAAATGGCAAAATTTATTAGTTACGTTGATTGAAATATAACATGTTTAACATTTTCAATGATTCTTCGCTTAAATTTTGCCTATTATCTTCTAAAAGATTATTATACATAGAAAAACTTCTTTCTACCGCGCAAGAAGATATAGGTAACCAAATGTAAATTAATGCTATATTGTTTAAAAAGGGAAGTGAAGTAGACATTTTATCCCAAAATTCGTCTAAATGATCAAAATCAATTGAAGCTAAATCCAAATTACAATAAAGAGCCCATTCTTGTAATAATACATGAGAAGAATGGTTTAATTCGGGAATTTGAACTGAATAATTTTGAATGTTACAATTAAAAATTGCTAACTTAACAAACCGGGGGTCAAAAACTTGTACGGCAATAAAAAGGGAACAGGAAAAATGCTGCAAAAAGTGATCATTAAATTTAGAATATGCAGCAGCAAATGCTTGTTAAAATACCTCATTAAAAGTAAGCGGATTTGCTCCAAGATTCGTAATACAAGAGTTAACATAATCCCCAAAATTCATGTTAGATTTCCCGTGTTGCAAATAAATTTCAAGATGTTGAATTCTATTTTCAACAAATGGAATTACAGGTTCATTTTCTTGAAAAATTAAGATCGGAAATAAACTTTTCAGTATAATACCGAATAAAGGTCAAGTAAATATGCACTCGCCCATTTTCTTCAATGTTGCTAAAAATATCCATTATTTTTTTTACAGCTTCGGATTTTTCAATTTTTAACTTTTCTTTGTAAAATCCTTCAATGTATTCTAAATAGTCACAAACGTAAAACGCCATTCGGAACCATGTATTCCAATGGGTAGCGACAGGTAATGGCATAAACTTTAATGTCGGGTTTGATTATTGATTTAACCTATGTTGCATTAGATAACGCATGTATCGAGACTTGCGAGCTTTAGAGTGCATAAATGTTTTTTTAATGTTTGCAATTAAAATTTTGACAACGTCAAAGTGAAAAATTAACAACCATGATTCACTAAAATATCAAATTTATTAATTTTAATAATTAAATAATAATTCCATAAAAAATATCGTAATTATTATTTACCCAACTAAAAGCTCAACTAAATTTACAATGTGAGCAGAGCAAGTATTATGTTTTAATTGCTGCATCACAGGATTTAAGGCTTCACAAAAGCACTTCTTCATGTAAGAAGCGGAATCGGAAGCAATTAATTTTGGTAAGTTAAAAGAAATTTTCCACTCCATTAACAACCGCAAGATTAGCCCACCCATCGTTGAAAAGTTTACAGCTTCTAAAAAATCAACTGATACAAGTTTTGTAGTTTCACAATAGGCAAACAACGTATTAACAACATTCCATCCTTTAACATCGGTTGTTTCATCGATGATTATTGCTATGGGCTTTTCATTAAATATACTGTATAAATTTTCTAAATGTTCTTTAAAAACTCTTGGTAAGTACAACCAACGTAAAGTATCTGATGCAGGTATAGCACCACCTTCCTTACAGAACATGTTCAAAAATCTGCGACCTTTGTCAAGTTTTTCTATTGGTATGTCAGCCTCAACCCATACCGTAAGATTATGAATAACTTCTTTTTTTTGGTTAGCCACTGTTAGAGACGACGGAAGGCACCTTTGCCGTGTTTGATTTGAGGATTTTAAGTAAGTTTCATGCTTTTTTTTATGGGTTTTACTATTTATGTATGTAGTAACATAAGATTTATTATCAAAGTTAACACTATGGTTGCAAAAACGGCACATAAGCTTGCTGGAATCTGCAACAAAATGTTCTGAAAACTCTTGCGCATGACTATTAGCAGTGATTCGGGTCATATTTTTTTTTTTTTGCATATTCAAAAAACACTCTTATACTAATTGCCCCCTTTTGTACACTATTTAGTCGAAAGACATTTGATAAACTCGTTATTGCGAAACTCTTTATTGAAAGTATTGATAAACTCTTAAGAACAAACCGCATAAAATTTGATAATTTATACTAAATTTTAAAGACAAATTCTTATTGGCTAGATTACATGTTTAATGGATCATTTTTATTCGAAAAGTCTACCGGAAAGTCTATATGGACACGTACAGGTCACGTGATATTTCATCTTACGGACACGTCCCGAAATAATGATATTTTTTTTTGATTTAAAAAATGATCCGTTAAGGCTTTTGTACCAAGTAAATATCCTTTATCATTCTAATAAAGCTTGTTCTCCTGGTCTTTCCGGTGCTAACAGTGATGAGAGTATTATCAGTAGAACCTTTGGATGTGACCTTTCGAAATTTGTGCAATGTTTTAGGATTATATAAAAACGTCGCATAAACTTCATACACTATATCTCCTGTTCTATTGAGTTTATTTTAATATCTTACCACTATTAGACCAGTAAAGGAGATTAGCCTATTATAAAATCTCAGTCCAAATTTTAAAAAAGAAATAAATAAGAAAAAGATGGCCTGGAAGACTTTCGAACTAAGTAACCTCCTTTATCACTATAAGTAAACTTATTCATGATCCGTTAAGGCTTATAGAATTCTTTATCATTCTAATAAAGCTTGTACTCCGGGTCTTTCCGGTTCTAATGATGATGATATTATTAAAATCTGATTAGTAGAACCGGAGATATGACCTTTCAAATTTGGGCAACGTTCTAAAGATTATATAAAAACGTCGCATAAATTTCATGAGACTATATATCTGGTTCTACTGAGTCAATTTTAATTATATCACCACAATTAGTATCAAAAAGACCAGGAGAATAAGTTTACTTATAGTGATAAAGGAGGTTACTTAGTTCGAAAGTCTTCCAGGCCATCTTTTTCTTATTTATTTCTTTTTTAAAATTTGGACTGAGATTTTATAATAGGTTAATCTCCTTTACTGGTCTAATAGTGGTGAGATATTAAAATAAACTCAATAGAACAGGAGATATAGTGTATGAAGTTTATGCGACGTTTTTATATAATCCTAAAACGTTGCACAAATTTCGAAAGGTCATATCCAAAGGTTCTACTGATAATACTCTCATCACTGTTAGCACCGGAAAGACCAGGAGAACAAGCTTTATTAGAATGATAAAGGATATTTACTTGGTACAAAAGCCTTAACGGATCATTTTTTAAATCAAAAAAAAATATCATTATTTCGGTACGTGTCCGTAAGATGAAATATCACGTGACCTGTACGTGTCCGTAGAGCAAAAGTATCAATTTTGATAGATCGCGGCTACATTTTTGATAGATCTACGATGTACCCAAATTTGGGTTACGTTCTTGATGCGTTTTTATTATGTATAAGATCTGCACAATTTTATTGGTTAAACTACTTATATTGCTTCTAATAATTAATTTTAATGATATTACGTATAATGACAATTTTTACACTAATCGATGCTTCTATTGAATTTAATGGATACGATATATTTGATTTGTCATATTTCTTTTATCTTCGTCATAATTCCACTTTATTTTATATAAAATTTAATCCAAGTTCAATGTTAACTTAAAAATTAATTGACAAGCGTTTTATTCAAGATTCAGCTATTTTTTGAATACCACAATAGTACAAATATGAAAACATTTGCCTATCATTTGCAGCAATGTCCACTATTTTACTAGCAGAGCCTAAGCTATTAAGTGTTCTTTTTTTTTTTTTTTTTTTTATTTTTTTTTTTTTTTTGTAAAACTTTGAAGCAACGTACAATTTTAGAAGAATATATTCTAAATAAGCTTTAGCAGATTATACATTGTAAATAAAGCATAATTGTTTTGCAATTCGACATAACCACATAGTTAACGTTTAAGAATGTTCAAGACATGCTGGCGTGCGATATTAAATTTTTCTATGAATTCTTGCGATTTGTTTTCTGTAAGATGGTCAGTTTTAACTATCATATAATTTTCAACGTCAGGTATAGTAACTTGTTGCGGTATATCAATAGATGGTTTTTGAATAATAGGTTCAATAGTCTCAGCAGATGTCTTTGATTTTTTAGAGCACAATTTGATATTTTCTTTTTGTTTCTCCTATAAAATAAAAAAATTTTTAGTATGAACTTAAAACAAGCAGTTCAATTTACTTTATAGTAATTCTCTTCAATTCACGCTTGGCATTTCTGATATTAATTGTATTTCTTTTTTGTTCTGAAGGAGAAATATCATTATTTGTATTGTCAGGAGCTGCGCGTAGTATGCGGCTGGGTTTACGTGGCTTAGCAGATGATTTTGAAGGCGACCCATTATTTATTGATCGTTGATTTAACTC